CGCGGAGAGCCAGCCCCGGTGCGGTGAGGCCTCTGTTGGAGCTCATCTCCCTTAACCCCCCCAGTGACCTTACGCTCAGGGTGGGTTTCAGGTGGAGTGAGGCTGCTTGTTGGGATCTGAAAACGGGGACGAGTCGCTGCACCCTTCCCTCTCACGGGGGAAGCAGACTCGTGTGTGAACATCTCTGGGTCTTGTTCATAGTGCAGACTGGTTCCACAGGCACTCACCTGCCCTTTCTGGGGGTGTCAAAAGCGGGTCAGGCCGCCTTCTGACTCTAAACCAGCTTCAAATCCAAGGGTTCAAAATCTGTCTGCAGGAGCTAGTTAGCAATGCTTTCTTCCCAATGAAGTTCATCTGTCACTCCTCTTGTTTCTTGGTTAATTAGGCAGGGGGAGGTTAAAAAAAGCAGTCTTGAAGATCTTCTGAGAGTGTTGTAGGTTCATGAGCGCCAGAGCGCTGGAGAGCTGCCACTCCAGTAATAGAGGGTGTGCTAACAGCAACCCGCAAAGAGCAGCGATTCCTCAGAGCCAGCTGGGATTCTAGCAGGAAGAAAAATACAAATAAACAGTCAGCAGATCCTGTGACTAAACTCATCTTAAAGCAGGAGAAAGGGCAAGGCTTTGGTCTCGCCAGGAAGTAGTGAGAAGAGCCAAGGCCATGGCACTCTCCTCCAAGAAGCATCACAGAGAAGAGTCTCTTCTGGAGTTAGGAAGGTTGTGGGAAAGTTAGGAAGGTTGTGGGTAATTAGTATAACAGAATTCAAAAGCAGCCTCTGTGGAAATGGGATGTGGTAATTGTTTTACAAACTCTCCAGACTGATTTTTACCTACTCGCACTCCCTTTCTCATGGATTTCTTCAGCCATAGTCTGATACCTCAGTACAGACAAGCCCCGAGACATGAGTGTCCCAAGTAGTCTGGGCAGGACTACTTGTGTGTGACCCAGAGGACAAGGGATGCTGGCTCTTCTGTGCTCCCCATAGCTCTTTGGTTCTTGGTTGCAAGCAACAGTTTAGGTTTAGGGCAGATTTTTATGTCTTTTAGGAGTCAGCCGCTGTTACGGGGTGGTTCTTCCCTGCAGTCCTGGCACACTAACAGGAGTAGTAGTGGCATACGTGATGTGATGCAGCCTTGCTGCCATCCTCCCTTTGCCAGAGTGGGAGTCTTCCAGTGAGGGGTGAGTTACTTGGGCTGTAGCCTTGGCAGAGCAGAGGCTTTCTAGAGTGGATGGAAACAGCATGTAGCTCAACTAGATCAGCAGCGTCCTTAGTGAAGGCTGGCCTTTTTTTACTAATTCTAGTTCTGCTGTTTTTTCTCATGCTTTTGCACAGACGTTTTCATTCCAATGAATCCTAGTATTAACAATCTCCTCAGAATGGGATGACACTTTCTACTTTGCAAGTACTGGGAGCTGCTTGAAACTGAGCTTGTTTTTGACAACTGATGAGGAAAGTGGTTTGTGGCCTGTTTTGCAGGGCACCTTGAAAGGTAGCCTGTAAGTAGCAGGCCTAACTTTGCTCCCCTCTTGACTTTCTCTTTACGTTGTTTCTGGATATAGGATGGATTGTAAAGAAAATTTGTAATTTTACATTCCGGTCTAGTCTTTCAGGCTTGTAATTGAACACGCAAGTGCTTGAGCTGCTGGAATGTGGGCCTTTAATCCAATCACAGTGGCAATGCTTTAGGATACTGTTAGCAAAGACGTCTTTGCCTGGTTACTTAAAATTTTTGACAGTTGGGTCATTAGAACCAGGAAATACCTGTCGTGGTTTAGCCCCAGCCAGCAACTAAGCACCACGCAGCCGCTCGCTCACTCCCCCTACCCCGATGGGATGGGGGAGAGGATCGGAGGAGTAAGAGTGAGAAACACTCCTGGGTTGAGATAAGAACAGTTTAATAATTGAAATAAAGTAAAATGGTAAAGCTAATAGTAACAGTATAATAATGATAATAATAATAATGATACACGAAGCAAGTGATGCACAATGCAATTGCTCACCACCCACCGACCGCTACTCAGACAGTTCCCGAGCAGCGATCGCTGCTCCCTGGCCACCCCCCGCCCCCCAGTTTATATACTGAGCATGACGTCATATGGTATGGAATAGCCCTTTGGTCAGTTTGGATCAACTATTCTGGCTGTGCCCCCTCCCAGTTTCTTGTGTGCCTGGCAGAGCATGGGAAGCTGAAAAGTCCTTGACTAGCATAAGCAGTACTCAGCAACAACTAAAACATCAGCATGTTATCAACATTCTTCTCCTACTAAATCCAAAACACAGCACTATGCCTGCTACTAGGAAGAAAATTAACTCTATCCCAGCCGAAACGAGGACAATACCCTAAAGTGTAAAATGAGACGAACTAAATTCTTGCAGCATCCCCCACTAGGACGAGTCTGAATTGGCTTGCCCCAGGTCTTTTTTTATGTCTATCCTGTGTGTTCTGTGTACTGGAATAAAAGTGATTCTGAAGTGATTGAGGTGGCTCCTCAAATGTGTGTATACTTAAGCAAGAATATATATGGTGTGCTGAATGTAAGTCTGTGCTTGAGAAGCCAATGGCAGTGATGGGTGCAGTATAGGAATACTGAATGGAGAGTGATTGGTAGAAATAAACCCAAATGTTATTAAAAAATATATGAATAGGTTGCCAAAGGAAGCGCCTCAGCTTGTGAGGTGACAGGCTTTGTGGTTTTGTGGCCATCCTGTGTGGGGGAAAAGGCCTGCAAGCAACTAGAGATTACATGCCTGTTTGCTGTAGCCACCCACATGAATAAGTTAGGCGTTTTGAAATAGGCATTGGATTTTTCCATGTTGTTGCCTGAGTTACTTAAGAGAGCAGTCATGGAGACAACCATGAACCAGGGTGCTATAGCTGCTGCAGCTTAATTCCACCATCGAGTAAACTGCACATCTGCCTAATAAACTCTTTTCATTCTCCAGCAGCTAGCCAGGAGATGTAGCACCTCAGTCAGTATTACATAGCTTGGTAAGAAACTATGGCAGCCTTATTCTCTTTTGCATTTTAGCTTTATCAAATGCCTGTGTTCTTCCTTTTTGTAAGGCTCGTGTACAAGTCTGTGGCCCAAATTCTTTGTTGGCTGAACTCCAGTGACTTGGTGGATTTGCTCTGTCAGGCTGTTTGGCCTACAAGTTACTTAAGGTATTGATTTTGGTTATAAAAAACCCAGGGTTTTATTTTACCATGTCTACTTCACATGAGGCGTGTCTGCAGCAGAGGGCCTAGCCAAAAGTTGGGCTGTAATGAATTAAGAATGGGTCTCATTATGAGATGCGTAACCCATTAATATCTTCTATTACACTTTATAATTTGTTGCTGCTTTATTCCCGCTGTCAATCCAAACTTACTGAGTCTTCAGATATGACTACAATGGCACAAAAGGTTTGTGTACCTGCTCATGGTGTCGTTCCAGCTTTTCTCTTATTTTTAAAAAAAAGCATAGTTGATGAAAATATCAGAACACCATCAATTTGAAAATCTATTGGCTTAGTCTGGAAAACAAATGTGCAAAATGAGCAGGTTTGTATTTGTTTGTTCTGCAGGCCTGGCAGGATGCTGGACTTGTCCTGTCCACTACTAGCAATGAAGCCTGTAAACTCTTTGATGCTGTGCTGACCCAGGTATGACCAAAAAGTGTAAGAAAACATGACTTGAAGGGACTCATGCATGAAACAGTCTTTGCTATAGTTGGTGTTTAAATTTCTTACCAGCTGGGAGAGCCTGGTAATCAGGCTGCTACAGGAGTTCAGCCATTAGCAGGCAGCAGAAAACCCTTGTAGCAGAGGGCTATGCCAGATGCTGCAGCTGTGGGGAAAACTTCAGCCAGTGTGCTCATTGTACTTGGCGCAGGAGAATCAATCAGTCAACATAAACCACACAGAAATCCATGGCTATTGTTTCTGTTGGTGGCCAAACTACCTTAAAGAAAACAGTTTTTCTGTTTTCCTACTACACTAGCCCTATCTGAATCCAAAGTTTGTCTTTTACTCATTTGTCTTGCTTACTTTTGGATTTTGCACATGTGGAAGAACTAAAAGAAGCCCAATATTATTGGGTATTCCTTGACCCTCTCTCTCTTTCTCTTACAGTATGCAACCTGGACCAATAATGAAAGCCTGGGAGGTATTGAGGGGTGTCTCTCGAAGTTAAAAGCAGCAGATCCAAATTTTAGTAAGCATAATCTTTAATTCTTAGCATGGAAAGTGCTGTATAATACCTTGTGTCTTGGTGTTTAACTTACTTTGTTTAGGCAAGTGGGAAGTGTTGGGTTGTAGAATTCTGTAAAACTTTGGAGTCTATAGCAGGCTGGGATGGTTTTGTGTGGTTTCTTTCCTTTTCATTTCAAGTCTTTTTAAATGGCTATCATGAAAAGCCTGTAAAAACTTCAGGTTTATGAGACTTTCTGGACCCCTGTGAGCACAAGTCTCGTTTCAAACAAGCAAACAACTCTGTCTCATGTTTATGTAGAGGTGAATTACCTGCAATGCTGTACAGCTGAAGTTGTAATGTGCTATTTTCCGTAGCAATGGGACATGTCATTGCTAATGGTTTGGAGCTCATTGGCACTGGAAGTTCAGTGCGGCTTAACAAAGAGCTGGACAGTGCAATGAGAACGATGATGACGCTTTCAAAATCACAGCCATTGACTGAGCGGGAGAAGCTTCACGTATCAGCACTGGACATGTTTGCCAGTGGGTAAGTCCACTGTCATCCCATTTAAAGGATTGTGAAGAGTTTTAGCCACCACAGGTGAAAGAGGTAGTTGGTCGTAGTGTTGCCTGACATTAGCTGACATCTAACAAAGGATCAGGGTGAGATGTCAGTTATTGTTCTTGAATTTATCTCTCCAAACTGTAAGTGCCATGACTATTTAGTGAGCAACACCATAGGAGGGGAAGTGCTCTACCGCCACTGCTTCATATCATTAAGCACTCCATGTTTTAAATCTGTCATAGATCCATCAGTGGAATATATGGTTTAGAACTAGGAAACTAAATATTTAACTACAGTAAGGTCCAATATAATGTAACGCAGACTTGGATGCACAAAAGCAAAGCTACAAACAGGCTTTTCTTCTCTCTGTTGTCCCCCTGCGTCAAAAACTATTTCCTCCGTAAAACAGGGAGATAGCAGAGTGTCAGAAGTGCTGTAGAGGCTCACCGTTGCATTCAATATGATGAATTTATGTGCACTGCAGAAAGTATGGGTTAATGATTCACTTCATTATTTGTTTGTCAAACAGGTGAGCATGGATTTACCTCACATACTTCTTAGCAAAAGTAAATAGGAAGCTTCTGAAACTCTGTTACTATGGGTTTGATTCCCACTAGAGGAGAGGGAAGGTGTCTTTGTGCATGTGAAGTTACATTAGTTATGGTACAAGCTGTTCAACCCTGTAGGAGAATCTTTAGATTTATGGTTTAAGCTTGTTTCATTTTCCTTGTATGTTACAGTGACTTGTTCTAACCCAAGGACATTTCTTTCAAAAGATTTCCCAGAAGGTGCTCAGTGAAGATAATTATTACTTTAAAAAAGACTAAGAAATTCCTTCACAGAAAAAAAAAAAATCATTTGATGTTGAATTTTCTGTTTTTTCAGAATAGAATGAGTTTAGAACTAACAGTAGAGGCAGGTATGCGTGCCTTCTCTCAGCAATCAAAATAATCTTTTCTTTCTAGCTACCTTCCAAAAGCTTGTCATTTATGGGAACAGGTTCTGCAGAGCCACCCAACTGACCTGCTAGCCCTCAAATTTTCCCAGGACACTTATTTCTACCTGGGATATCAGATACAGATGCGAGATTCTGTGGCTCGGGTTTATCCTTTCTGGACGCCTGATATTCCACTAAGCAGGTGGGTCATGCTTCATTGTGAAAATTGCTCTTTATCTGGTGTGCATGTACTTTGTGGGCTTTTTTTAAGTTCAGACACATCTAAATAGCAGGATCTGTTGGACACAAACATGTAGACAAAGTTAAGGGCTTAGAAGTGAATCAAATGTGATCACAGCTAGATCATATATCCTGTATCCATGTTGACACTGTGTTGAGGGTTTTTTCTTAAGTGAGCTGTGGCTTAAATTAGTAAATTTTGCTGTCAAATATGGCACGTGGCATGTAACAAACAAGATAAAATCATGTCCTCACTGAGGGCAGTAGCAAAACTCCTTTGGGCTTTCATGGGTCCAGTTTTTTACTTGGGGCTCACATTGTGGGTGGTAGAGCACATCAGTTGGAAGAAAGAAAGAAGTTGTAACTTGGAATACTGAAGTGTAGTTCTGAAATAAAACTTAGGGATATACCATAACAGCTGGTGCAGCAAAGACTGACAGGAAGGCAGAATTTTTTAAAAGTTTCTTTAGTTCAGTCCTGAAAGTTTTGGTTTCCCAAAGTTAATTCAGAATAATCTGAATCTATTGACAAGCGAATAGCTAATAAAAACTAACTTGGGATAATTCTTAAAATTTTTTTAAGACCTGTTAAATTATTTGAAAACTTTATGTAAAAATTAACATTAAATTGTAAGTCAAGATGTACATTTAGAGATAGGTGAATTGGCAATCCACAGGCAACCATAACTTTCTGAATATTTTATGAATGTTGCTGTAGATCCATGCACTGTACCTCCATATCCAGCACAATCTTTTCTCCTTTTTTTCTTCCACAAACAGTGCAGGGAATACAGACTGAATTCTAACATAATAGTGAAGCTAACTGAGGTACTCCACAATCTCATGGCACAGAGGATAGTGTCAGGAGTCTAATTTTTCCAGCTGTGTTACTGCAACTCAGAAAAATCTAAAGTCCGTAATCCTATGATATGCTGGTTTCATTTGTTGGGGAAGTAAGACGACTTAGCAGTTTTGACTGCATTTTTATAAACTTTTCTAGACGCGATGCTACAAAAGTGCAAGTTGTTATCCACTTAATTGTAAAGCAACAGGAAACACCCATATGCCAAGCATTTCTTGAAGTATAAAAACCTGACAAGTACCCCTTGTCCTCAAACTTACAGGCATGTGGAGTTACACGAGAATTGATATGTTGGCCAGGAAAAAAACAAATCAACTTTTATTCATCTTGATGCGTGAAGTAAGTCAGTTGCAACATACCTCACACGTTTTAGTAGTTCCTTTGCCTCAGGAGTTTAAAACCAAAACCCCAACAGATACACTGAGAAGCAGAAACATACCCTGTGGTATTTTGCAATCTACAAATCTGCAAATAGAACAGCAGTTAATCATAGAATCGTTTAGGTTGGAAAAGACCTTTAAGATCACGAGTCCAGCTGTTAACCTAGCACTGCCAAGTCCAGCACTAAACCATGTCCCTAAGCACCACATCTACATGTCTTTTAAGTACCTCCAGGGATGGGGACTCAACCACTTCCCTGGGCAGCCTGTTCCAGTACTTCACAAGCCTTTCCGTGAAGAATTTTTTCCTAATATCCAGTCTAAACATCCCCTGGTGCAACTTGAGGCCATTTCCTCTTTTCCTATGGCTTGATAAATATGTCTTAAAATGACTGCATCAGGTATGTGTGTAAAAGCATATAGCAACCCTAATTTTCCTTTATGTTGGGCCTTTATGGCTTAATGGGGATGTTTTACAACCAGTTTTAAAGGGCCACTTCACATGAAAGTGCTCACCTATAGTTTTGTGGGCACTGGAGCAAGTGCAGAAGGCTATGCTCATATGTTGCTTTTGAGATAACTTTGGTGGCAGCACTGTCTTGCTTCTAGCCCTCCAATTCTGCATCTTGCAACTGTTATGGAGATCAGCAGGTTGTTCTGTGCAACTCTTAATTTTAGCTTATCTAAAGATGTAAATGTCAGTTCTCAAAACGCCAGTGATGTGCATCTTGTTACTGTTTCCCATGCTGGTGTCTCTGGGCCTCTCATTTCCTGTGGGAACTAGCTAGTTGTTCTGTGTTCTGCAAGCTTGAACCCTCATTGTAACTTGTGTTGTAAGGACTGTTTTGAGTTAAATGCTATTTCTATTAGGTTTTTCAGTCCTAGCTTACATCTAGTTCTAAATGGATGATGTACTGTTTTTGCCCTTTTGCTTAGCTACGTTAAGGGCTACTACTCTTTTGGACTCATGGAAACAAACTTTTTCGATCGTGCTGAGGAGCTTGCCCGTGAGGTAAACTGCCTGTTATTCGTGCTAAAAGGTTTTAGAATTCTTAAACCTGGTCCCTGCCTCTGGGTGGTGGTTTGCGCAAATGCCATGAACTGACTCTCTCCATCTCCGTTGTTAGTAGAAGTAGCAAAGAGATAAAGCTCAACATGGAAATGCTCATAGAGTTTCATAAGAGACTACTGATAACTATTCCATAGAAAGATTCCCCCATCTACGCCATACCATGGCAGTTTCATCTCAACTGTATTTCCTTCACTTGCTTATGAATGTGCCTTGTCAGATGGTGTCAGAACACCTGTATAAAATCCATATATTATCCCATCTGCTGTTTCCCCCATGTATAATTGGCTGTTTACTCCTATTAAAGAATGCTGGATTTGTTTGATGTAATCTGCTCTTGACAGTCGATCCTGTTTGGGTTCCCTCTCCCTTTTTTCCCAGATGCTTCTTCCTTGTTTATTGGACAACTAACTCTACAATGTTCCTGGGGATCAATATTAGGCGGCCTGTTTTCTTTCTATGAAGACAGTAATTATACTTGACTTTCTCTAGTTCTCAGGATTATCCCTGTCCTCCAGGAGTCTCAGATACGGCTAATTTCTAATTGGTGTTTTTGCCAAACTTCTGTTACATCAAATTGCTGAAAGTGACAACAAAGACTAAACATTAACATTTAACATTTATGAGGTTAATGATTAACCTCGCAAAATGCCTAAAACCTAGTGGGAGTTGTTGGAGCAAGAAAGAGGAATTTGCTGAGTACTCAGAGCTGGCCATGTTTCTGAAGAAGAAATGATTACCTGCAAGGCAGTATGTCATGGAATATATCGTGCCTATGCATGTAATTCTTTCATGGCTGATATTGATGCATGTCTGTGAAATAAAACATCATTTGATAATCTTCATTAAACCCTGCATATTGAAGTGTTTTGCAGGTGTTCATCTTTGTGTAGTAGAAGCTGGGAAATTAAGTCAGCCAATAAACTTTTTCTTCCTTTTCTGTCCCAGTCACTTCCTGGCTGTGGTTAGTTGGAACAGTACAGGGATGTACTTAACATGCAGCAAGTAAAAAGTAGTCTCTTGTTTCTATATCAGCAGTGATAAATACTATTATTTGCAAGTTTGCAAGCTTCATCATGTTTTCCCTTTTTTCACTCATAGGCTTTGGCTATAAATCGGACAGATGCGTGGTCTGTTCATACTATAGCTCACATAAATGAAATGAAAGCAGAGGTGAAGAAAGGGTTAGAATTTATGAAGGAAACGGAATCCAACTGGAAGGTAAACATTCTTGTAGCATCTCTGAAAAAGCCTCTTCTAGGTCTTCTTTATCTCCTCCAGCCAAGTTCTTGATTCCTCTGCATGCAATTCCTTCCTATCTGCATACGTGTTATAAGCAATGAAAATTTTACATATTAGACAAAACTGTCACTTGAGGTGCTGTTACTATCCATGCTGCTTTTGAAGCAAGAGGCAGAAAAAAATGGCATATTATGAGGGACACATACTGTAGACCACTTTAAGCCATTATTACTGTGACTGCTGAGATCATACAAACACCAAACATGTCAGTAGGCCGGGATTCACACAGTCTATCCTCTCACATTGCCTTACTTTAGCTAGGAATATTGTAATAAATACTGCTTTTCAACAAGTGTGTGGTTTGAACATGCATGTGTACACAAACCTACCCCCTGTTTTCTTTTTCCTGGTGGAGCTGATCAGGTATTTTACATCTTATAAAGACATGGCCGTTGCGGCCAGGTGAAACATCAGATGTGAAAATTGTGATTAATTGATATGTGATTTATATGGGATTATATTTTATTTGTTGTATGGTTTATAAAAGTAAAGTGACCAGTGATATTTTCACAGGCTTTTTGCTTAGACTGAGATGAGCACTGAGAGTCAGTTGAGGAACCTGGTTAAACCTCTTCAGGAGAACCTAAGATGATGTGTGAAATGACACAGTCAAATCAGACATTTTAGAAGACTCAAAATATTTGTTTGCTTCTGGATAGGGAAGGATTTTTAAAGGTCAACTGTAAAGACAAGCTAAATGATGCTTTTGTCTCTCTTCTAGTGTACTGAAGTTACTTTATATATCCAACAAATTTGAATATCTCTCAGAGTATTGAACAGCTTAATTAGTCATAAAGTAAGTGCTGTAAGTGAAGCTTAGTTTTTATTTGTGTTGGACAGCACATGTTTTCCCAATGATTTAAGTGTCATATTCAGAGTGGGTGAGGTTTGAATTTGTTAGAACCCGCAAGAGTCCACCTTAGAGTCATCTGAGCTGACCATTCCACCTCACCCAAAGAGCAGGGCTGGATAATGAGGCTAGAAGGGCTGTTTAATTTGCACTTGTTTTTTTAAGTTAATCATTCAGATACCGAGCTTGGAAGTGCAGGCAGAAAACCCTTGGGGTTCGTATCTGTCATTTCTCAGAGAGCGTTGTGTCCTTTGATCTATTAGTTTTAATGAAACAGTGATGCAGGGGGCTGACAGTTTGGGTGATGCCTTAAAAACCCCCAATCACTGACTTTTGGATCATGGGTGGTTTTTTTTTTTTTTGAACCCTTTCTTAAAATAGTTGCATGCCTCTGTCATTTATAACCTTTATCCAACTCAAAGAAAGTGCAAGATCAGTAAGTAGAATTGTCTGATGTACCTTTGTGCCTGACCAAGTACAGTTAAGATTTATAACAGCTGACATTGTCATAATGATAATATGTATAATCACTTCTTTTGTGCAATATTTTTTATCTTAGCTTTTGCGAACAGTTAAAACACAAGTGCATGAAAAAAGAAGCAGGTCTCTCTAAGGGCTTTAATAAAGTTGCTTGTATTTTGCCTGGTGATTTGAAATTCTTAATTTTTATTTAATGACCAGGATCATCTACCTGTACTGCCACAGTATTTGGGCTCCTCCTCTACAAGAGCGGTAAAGATTTGGTACAGGTTTTCTTTACAGAGTACTTTATTTTTCTTTTTTTGTTTCTCCACCCCCCCAAAAAAAGCAGATGCCATTTGTTTTATATTTCAGCACAAAATCAAAAGGGGCAAATTGTCTTACCAGAGGAGACCTCTCTGCCAGTGCTGTTTATTATTAAATAGGAATGGTTTTTCTTGTGAGTTGCTGGAATGAGTTCCCATAGCCTGCTTTTATTTATTTAGTAACCTGCAAGCCCATTTCTCCTTTAGCAATTTAATCTCATTCAGAACTCAAAATCAGTAGCAGAAAAATGGGTTTGTTTTATTCAGTGAGATAATCCCATGTTCTTGTTTTTTCATTTGGAATGGTAGTATGGTATTAAACTTGATATTATCATGTTTATGCCAAGCACTTAATTACTTCAGTTGCTCAGGTTTGGTTTGTGATTTAATATTAAACAAGTAAAGATTACCAGAATGTTTATCTTAGCAGTATAAAGTTCTGATACTCACTGGGAACCTTTGTGCTTCCTGAAAGTGGGTGTTAGAGTTTTCACCATGAAAATGAAGATGCTTTTTCGACTTGTGAGAACATAGTTTAACTACAGCACTGGGAGAGGATGGGAGGAGAGGGAGGAACCTTTCTGGTATTTTAATTTTCACCAAAGGATTATGGAGTTTTATTCTTGTTTGTCTATTCTCAATGCACTCACAAAAGTGAACTGTAATGACATTGTCTTGAAGTGCAGGCTAGGGAAGAGTATTTGAAGTTCTGGTGCTAGCTGAAAAGGGCAGTGCAAAGTTGGTACAGTCCAGCAAACATTCATCTCATCTGATGAACTGCAAATATGTTTGGTATCTAGTGCAGCTTCTGTAGTCCATAGTAAAACATATGTTTAAGAAGTGATTCCTCTCTGTCTGAGCTGGATCTCTAGACGGGTGGGATGAATGGCCTTCATAAGGTGAGTATATCTCTCCACTATTTATCCAGGTTACTTTTGACAAGACGCCTGAATCTTAGATGAGACAAATCTTACGCTTGTTATAGAGGTGGGGTTTTTTTCATAAGGAAAAAAAAAAAGTGCTGCCGAAGGGTGAATTCTGAAGCATCCAATTGAAATTCTTCTCTGGAAGATGACGTGGGGGAAACCTTGTTTTTTGAGGTGTCTCCCTGAATAGCTGCAAGGAGCAAATGTATCAAATGAGAAGGTATCCTAGCCAGCTGACTTAAAGTTTTTGTCTCTTCTGTCTCAAAGTACTCAGTTTTGCTGAAGAAGGAAACGGAAATCTGACTAGATATGTATAAGTGGGAAGTTATTTTGTGAATAATATTTTCTCTTCTTTCTTTCTTTTTTTCCCCAGAACAGTGATATGCTTGCTTGCCATAATTACTGGCACTGGGCTTTATACTTTATTGAAAAGGTATGAGATATTTTCATTTAGGTGTTTTATGGTCCAGATAGGTCATTCATCTAATGCTATTTAAAAGGCAGACCTAACACTTGTAGGGTTTTTTCCAGCTATTTAAAGGGATGTTTTTATAAAATAGCACAATGACATTTTTACAAGCTAGTCCTTTATTACAATTATTTTGAGAAGTTTTAATCACATTGGTTAAAGCTCCAGGATCTTTGTTAGAATGTTGAAAAATTGCTGCGAGATCATTGCATGTTTGAAGATCAAGTAGTCTCACTCCTTACACTTGGCACAGCTATTTGTTAGGAAGATGAACTTGAATCTCTAATTTTCAGACAAAAATTAGCCAAAATTCTCTTCAAAGTCAATACTAACTTGCTGGCCCAAAAATTTGCTGACTATGAGAAAGAGGCAGTGAGCTCTAAATTTGTTCACCATTGTTATTAATTATTAATGTCACTAATTCTTATTATTGGAACACTTTAAAAATGGTTGCAATTTTACCCAACCTGTCAGGTTGCAATGCGGAATTTCCTTGGATTTAATAATGCTTAGCACTTACGG